GTGCAAATTGACTTAAGATCATACGGAAAATTAACTCAACCATCCATATCGTAGACAGCTTCAGAAAATAAAACACGACAATCGCTGGATTAATCGCTAGGTTTTACACCCAGTGGGGCTGGAAGACTGCTGTTATTGGCCAGCAATCAGAGAATGGAATGAAATTTTGTAAGTGAGTCATCTGTGAACGTATTATGGCAGTCCGTTTTACTCACGTAAAATACGAAGGTCAACTGTTACAAACCGCAGCTGTGAGTCCAGGACGAAAATTTCTAGAAATCACTAAATGAAATAGAAGTTTTTTACAGATTCCTTCTATAGATAGTGATTTAAAGTCTACCTCAGGTGACAAAAGAAGACCAGGAAAAGGCAGAACTGTATTCAGGATAGTGCACTAAAAACACCAAGGTTCTTAGATACTGAAAAATCAATAGAACCTGATGAATTGCACTTTGAAATCCTGATACAGATTGCAAAATACACTGCTACTTCGCTCATTACAATATTTAGGATGTAATTGACGCAAAGTAAGTTACCTACTGACCGAAAGAATCCAATTGTAACCCTATTGTGCAAGACAGAACCACAACAGTTAACAGTGAACTACAGATCTATCAGCCTCACCTGTGTTGTGGTTGAAACATTGATAAGAATAACCAGAAAAGAAAATTCGTTAAACAATGAACAACGTGATGTCAGGAAGAGAAAAATTTATTACGACTAACCCCCCATAGCAAAATATAGATGTACGGGGTTTGATGATAGTGGAAAATCGGTGAGTGTTATCTAGTTGACGTCAGCAAAATATTCGACGAAATGCCTCATAATTGTCTCTTTTTTAGGCTGAAAAGTCTGGGGATTGCCAAACCTCTTTTAAAGTGTGCCGAAGACTAATCGGTAGGTCGTAGATAGAAAGTAGGAAGAAATTCCAAATATTTCCCATAGAGACCAGAAATTAGTGAAGTATCACAAGGCTCTGTTTCTGGTCATTTACTTATATGCTATTCGCAGGTTAACTCCAGAGTATCACTGAATCCCCAAAATTAATTTATTCTGGATACATCAACCTTTGGCAAGAAAAAACTGGGGAACACAGTTGCATGTGCACTCCAGGTTGACCAAGACATTCCGGTTAGCTGGTCTCCAATTCCACCGATTCTTATAGATGCAATCAAGTATGTCTACACGCATACTGGACATACGACGGTGAAGAGCGTCAGAATTGGTGAAGGAATAGTGCTAGTAGTTCTGTTTCACGATGGTCCAAAGATCTTATGGCCCTGCCCTCTCTCCTGTAGTTTAAGTCATGTGGTTCATAATGCAATGGGCTTGAAGACAGATGCATGTATGCTCACTGCCGTATACATAACGTCAGTGCTAACCAGACTGGAAAACTGATTTCAGGCTGCAAGTAAAAGCGGTGACTCCAATGTGTTGAAAAACATACGGGGAATAGTCACCTATGCCACTACACAATTCCTATGTTCGCCTTCCACACTAAGGTTTGGGAAACCAGACCATTTTACTATGTTTTGCCGCAGATTAAGGGGTGATCGAATTTCAATTTGCAGGATACTTAGAAACGATGCTGGAGCCGAAATGTCACTTCTTTTTTTTCCCAAAAGATTAAGGGAATCCAGAGAACGAAAGAGATGGGTTCAGACACAGTTCTGGCTTACACTTTTATCTCACATCAAATTCACAGATGAAAATCAAAATGAACATGCTGAGCCACCTTAGATTGCTTAGTATAAAGAAATGTAAATGGAGTTCTAAATCTATCCATCTACCGAAAACCAACACACTAATCGTTATATCAACTTCCATTCGGCGCATCCTTTCAATGATAAGATCTCGTTAGTCTTAAATTTTTTTAGAAGAGCCAAGAAGATAATCACTTCAGAAGAGGACAAACAAAATGAACAAAAGAATGTAATTAATATGTTACAATGTAATAATTTTTCCATGAAGATTATTAGAAGTATATTAGAATAAAACATTTCAATAAGTAATAATAATAGTTTGAATGAATGGTGACATCGAGTACGACAATTGTATGCTGGGAGGATTAACTCGCTCTACGCGTCTCGGATTCTTGCATATCCTGATTCTATGAACATGCTCATATTAGAGGTGACAACTCTACTGATGCTCGGTTTTTCAACCTTATTGATGATCTGGGATTATTCGAAAATGTGAAGTCGGCAACTCATTTGAGAAACAGTCAGACGCTGCCGCGCTTAGACAAGGTATTTACTAACGAAGAGTTCCCAGACGACAACCTCTCAATCGTGGCTCTCCTGAGGAAAAGCGATCACGCAGTCCTATCTTTCCGCTTTATCAGCAAAACTGAGCTAAGTTATCCCATCAACAGGCACTGGAATTTCAAACAGCCGAATGTGTTAGCTTTACATGACTATCTACGACGGATGAATTGGTATGTCCACCCTCAACTTGAAATGGATGCTCATTAGGATTTCTTACTGAACACTCTGTTATGTTCTACTAAGCATTCAGTTCCTCAAACGATCCCAAAAACCTACAAACAATCTACAATCAACAAGAACCGCACTCAACGTTCGCTAAGCTGCAAACGTCTACTCCTTGAGAGTTGTCAAATGCTGGAAATCGCTGCCCACCTAGCTAGTACAAGCGACTTCCCAGGAGTCCTATAAGAGGAAACTTGACCAATTCTTAAGACCAAGGATAACATCTTATTATTCAGTTTCAGTTTCAGTTTCGAAAGGACGAGAGGCTTGATGGCCCTTATTAGTCCTGGCAATGATGGTCTCTCAGCTGATCCAACTTTCTTTTGAAAGAGTTGGCGAATGGAGCCTCAACCACGTGCTGAGGTAATGAGTTCCACTCGTTGATTATTCGATGGGAAAGTCGGTAGTCAGCTGACATGTAATTCGTTTTGGGCTCTTGAACGTTTTTAGAGTGTCCTCGTAGATTTTCTGTTTTGGAAGACAAGAAAAATGAGGGCATATCAGGTGCAAATTTGTCATTAAGCAATTTGAAAACTGTAATCAAGTCGCCTCTGATTCTTCTATATGACAGCGGGAATAGGTTTAGCTTGATCAGTCTGGTACCATACGGTAGTTTCGCTATTCCAGGAATCAGCTTAGTTGCTGTTCTCTGAACCCTTTCCAAGAGTTCACTGTCTTTTTTTAGGCAGGGGTTAGCTGCTTGTATGCAGTAAACAGTACGAACACTGTATGCAAAGTCAGAAACGTTTTAGCATCGAGATGACTAAAAGCTCTGCGTACGGACCATACAGTTCTAAAACCTTTGGCGGCTATTGCACGGCAGTGTGCAGTAGTCTTTAAGTCTTGACTAACGATGACGCCTAAGTCATTGTGTGCCTGAACAATAGGTAACTCAGTGTTATTCATGGTGTATGTATCTGTACCCTGATGGCCAATATGCATCACAATACACTTGGAAGTGTTTATCGGCAATTGCCAGGTTTGAGACCATTCAGATAATTTCTCCAGGTCATTTTGGAGTTTTAAGCAATCACATTTACTTTCTGTCGCTCTCCATATGTTGACGTCGTCAGCATAGAGTAAGACCGATGACGATAGTAGACGAGGGAGATCATTTACGTACAGGAGGAATAACACTGGCCTCAAAAATGTACCCTGGGGGACTTCACTAAGCAGGTTCCCAGCTAGACAACTTGCAGCTCACACTTACTCTTTGTTGACACCCAACTAGGAAGTCTTTTATCCACATCAATAGATTGCCTCCAATCCCGATATTCCTTAGTTTATATAACAGCCGTTTGTGCGGAACTTTGTCGAAAGCTTTGCTGAAATTGATGTAAGCTACGTCTACAGGTAACTTTTGGTCCTTAAGAGCGCGCCAGCTTTCACGAGCGGCTAATAAGTTTGTGAGACAAGAGTAACCTGTTCTAAAACCATGCTGCTTCTCCAAGGGATCCGTTTTTCATCGAGATACTTAAACAGCTCCTTCCAAATGTTCTTTGCTAAGATTTTAACAACCACACTAGTTAGGCTAATGGGTCGGTAATTTTCAAGCTTATGTTTTGTACCTGTTTTAAAGACTGGACTTACTATGGAGTTCTTTCAGTCTTTTGGTAGACGACCCTGGGTTACGGATAGATTAGAACACATACTTAAAGTGTTCGCAACAAAGTTAGCTAATTCCTTTAGTAACCTAGGATGCAGTTCATCGGGTCCAGTGGATTTGCCTATGTCAAGTTTGTGGGGAGTAGTGTAACGTCGTATACTATATTACACCTACATAGCTTATTCTAGTTTCTGGACAAGCCAATTCACCTATAATGTTATGAGTCATATTTTGATCTTGTTATTTATTCGCTTATTGATCTTGACTATATTTTTTACATGAGCGCATGTGTATGCACACTTCTTATCCTACCTATCACATGTCTGTCATTCATTTTAGTCTGACTATAAATATTGAGTAATGCTTGCTCATAGCGAGTTGGCTTACCAGCCATCTCCCATGTATGTTATTTTTTCTTCGCTCGCTAACATTTACTCATGTGCTCACTGCTTTCTAACCTATGTTATTTGTCAATAAAAATGTAGTTGCTGCTTCCCTTTGTCTTCTGATATTATACACAGTTCAGATTGTTATAATAACGGTTATCGAGACGATCGATTAACGAAGCACTCCACTACAAGTTTAATTAGCAGACCAAAGACATCCAGTTCTTTAATGGTCTTTAATGATTTACCTTTTTTTTCCTAATGTCGTCAATATACCTAGGTTCCTGCCTTTGGGCATTGGTGATCCACTTCTACTAGACACTGAAGCCCGTTAAATGAGAGCTTCTTCTATTCTGTCCACAACCATTTGAACCATTTACTACCTGAAAAAGTGGTGATCACACCATCAAATGACTCATTTAAAAGAAGACTGGACTCTCATAGAATAAAGCCAGGATATGGATAATGCAGACCATCTGCTTTCTGTCCCTAATGTACGCGTATGAATTCGACATTGTTTTACTGCTCTATAACAGATAGAAAATCAACAAGGTCGTTCTTCTACCGGGTAAGTGAGTCGGCGATAGTTACATATTTCGAGTGTATAGCACATGGTTAACTAGAATCGCTCATCTTTTTCAGCGTCGGCTTTGTATCCGTTATAGCAAATCGCGATTTTTTTGCAAGATTTCTCAATCTAAGGGAAAAGTAGGCATTTTGGTGTTCATTTTTGGGAAGGTTTCAAGTAGCGTTAGTGTTGATGCATTTCCCCTCAGTGGAGAACTTTCGCGAAAAATCCGCCCCATTTACACCGAGCTGGATGCGTGTTCGCTTATATCTTTTCTGAACTTTCTTGAGGAATTTTCCTGATGTCTATCCAAAGCTCTCATTCACCTTACCTTACCTGAGATACCAGCCATAGGACCTTTACACGTGACAGAGGATATTGTTCTTCCTTTGATAACTAACCTAAAACCTTGTAAGATACCGGGCCCCGATGGGTTACACCCACGTTTACTGTCGTCGCTTGCGGACATTATCTCAAGACCGCTCACGGTGCTCTTCAACATGTCCCTTTCACAGGCTCAACTACCTAGAGACTGGAAAGACGCCATAGTTAGTCCTATATTTAAGGATGGTCAGAGACGGATCGTATTTGACTACCGGCCTGTTAGCCTGACCAGTATAGTAGTTAAGTTACTTGGAAAATTAATTCGGGCTAAGCTACTAAGCCACATAGATTCGTACAATCTGTTAACTCCCGAGCAACATGGGTTTCGTAACAAGCATTCATGCTTGATTAACTTACTCATTGCGAGGGAGGATTGGACAGCTGCCCTAAACAACGGCCTGTCTGTCGACGTGATATTCATAGATTTTAGCAAAGCGTTTGATAAGGTTTCACACTTAGATCTTATGCAAAAGCTCTCGAGCTTTGGAATAACAGGTGCTATACAGGAATGGATAGGAAGCTTCTTATGTGACCGCAGACAGAGAGTAAGAGTCAGTGGAACGCTATCCGAATGGAAACCGGTCAAAAGTGGTGTGCCCCAAGGCACCATCTTAGGCCCTCTACTTTTCCTTCTGTATATTAATGAACTACCTTTATTAATTAAGTCGTCGACGTTATTGTTTGCGGATGATGTTAAAATCTGGAGAACAATAAGAAATGAGACTGATCGTTGTTTTCTGCAAGCAGATTTAGACGAATTATTTAGGTGGGCCCATGATTGGGGCCTGGAAGTTAATTCCAGGAAGAGCGTGTTCATGCACATCGGGCACGATATTAGTTATCATTATACCATTAATGGTACATCTCTGCCACGCGTTCATGATCACAAAGACTTAGGAGTAATTATAAGTCACGACTTAAAAACTACTACGCACTGCAATGCGGTTGCTTCCAAAGGCTTTCGCGCGCTATGGTCGCTTCGCAGAGCATTTAAATGCTTTGACGAGATGTTTCGAATTTTATATCCCACCTATGTAAGGCCACACTTAGAATACTGTATCCAAGCAGCTAGCCCTTGTCTGATAAAGGATACTAAATCGCTTGAGCGTGTCCAGCGTGTAGGGACAAAATTAGTAAAGGGTCTTTCTAAACTCCCTTACGATGAGCGTTTAAAACGTCTAAATCTTTTCCCCTTATCTTATCGTAGGACGCGAGGTGACCTTACACTGGCATTTCGTATCTTTAATTATGATCTGGGTGTTAATATGTCTTATCTTTTTGCTCCCTCCAACACTAATAATCTCCGGGGTCATAGCAAGAAGGTTCTGAAACCGCGATCTAATAAACTAAAGGTGGGGTCCCGTTTTTCTCATCTAGTGGTCAATAATTGTAACGCTTTACCAGAACAAGTAGTATCAGCACCATCAGTGAACATTTTCAAGAAAAAGCTGGACCTTCACTGGAAGGAAATCTGTCAGGATTAACACAGGTTCATCAACCTACTATCCTTATTACTGAAGACTTTTCTGTTCGCTTCGGTGGGTAAAAACCGGTTCGCTATTTCGCCTTAGCACACTAAATCTCTCGACTTCCAAAAAAAGTGACCAGTCGTATGAAACTGTCTATAGAGCCGTATCAGAAACTTTTGCAAAATGCGTCAAAAAAAATTCCCACCAGTTTAATTCTCTCAAATTTACGCTAGTTCTGGGGAAATCTCCACCATTTCCACAAAGTGTACATAGACACTGAAAAGATTCAGCAAATCAGTGCATAAGCCATCCGAAAATTCTAGCAACTTTATACAAAGCATCAAAATATCAGTCGAAACCAAACACCGGAATTTCTTTTCCCCAAAATTTAAATTGTAGTATTGGTTTTTTGTACATTTCCTGTCTTCCGAATTCAGTCTGCTAGTTTCCCCCAAGCTGCCTGTAGCTCCCTGCATAACTATCTACATCATAGCACCGTACATAGTTGACTACATAAATCCAACCAAGTTAACCTTCTGCGTAGATGATATATTATTTTTCACATGATTTGTGTATGAGCCCCCAAATGCCCTGGTACGGCCGAGAGTGGGGAGAGTCCACTCTCCCTCTCCAAATGCTCTCATATGGCCACGCAAATATATAGCCTCTGCCAGGGAAGTCCTACTCACTGCCTTCTCGTGGCGGGGGTGTTGTTTACAAAATTGAGAGGACGAAAAGCGAATGTCCGGCGCTTTAACCGGGTTGGTGGACAAGGCGAGTCTACCTAGGGGAGTTGGAAAACCCTGATTCCAAACCAATGGTGCACATGGGCTCCAGTATCCTGTAGGAACGAATGGCGTATGAACCAACTGTTGGTCACCGGCTACCATGGGACTGCATCTCCTCACGATGCTCCACTGCCTTTTGGATTAGATCTTTCAGCCAAAGGCTTGGGGTGTGGCCCCCTAAGAAAACCACCTGCTTCGGTTTGGGCACCCGGGCAGTATCACAGCCCACACACAATAGTGTGGCGCATATGTATCTGGTGCCCTTTTGTACCAATATATATGTGTTTAAATAAATAAAATATAAGTAAATGATTTGTGTATGAGCTCTGATACTGTCCGGGTGCCCAGACCGAAACAGGTGGTTTTCTTAGGGGGCCACACCCAGAGCCTTCGACCTAAAGGTCTGATCCACAAAGCAATGGAGCAACTTTGGAAAATGCGGTCTCACGATAGCCGATGATCAACAATAGGTTCATACGCCATTTGTCTTTACAGGATCCTGTAGCCCACGTGCACTACTGGTTTAGAACCAGTGTTTTCCAACTCTCCTGGGTGAAACTTCCATATCCACAGACCCGGTTAAAACTCCAAACATTCACTTTTCGTCCTCTCAATTCGTTAGACAACACCCTCTCCACGAGAAGGCAGTGAGTAGGATTTCCCTGACAGTGGCTGTATACACGTGGCCATGTGAGAGCATTTCGAGTGGGAGAGCTGACTCTCCCCCACCGTCGGCTGTACCAGGGCATTTAAGTGCCATAAGAATCTAAATTCTCTTAGTGTATGCTGGTGATTATATATATATATATATATATATATATATATATATATATATATATATATATATATATTGCGAATATCAGTTAAGTTGGTGGTATGATGTAGAAAGTTTGTGCAATTAGTAAATAACTAGATCTATAAAGGCTTGAAGTTTGTAAAAAGACAAGATTTTGTGACTTAGAAGTCTTTATATAAATGTTGGAGACTTCCCCAGTAGTGGGAAGATTGGAAGAAAACTTCAAACCAGCGAGAACTCGGATTCCTGATTTCGTTTTACCAAAATTGGTTTGAGAAGAGATTAGTCCATACACTACGCTTCTACACTTAGAAATTAATTCGAAATACTAAATACCACTTACAACTTAGCAGGAGTAAAAATGACTTGTAATAGTATAATAATCTGTTTCTGAGATCTGGGCCTTGTCACATCATTTTAGTCGTTTTTTTCAAACAACACAAACGTAGCTGGTTTAAAAATAGATCTTGGTGATAAGTCAGGTGCTCACTGAGAAAAGATTGGCTTACTACTCCATGGTTCCCTTATATACTTAAAATATAAGAAACAACCTTTGGATAAGAAGAGGGGTCATCATGGTGTCGAATAATTGAGGGCTAATATTTTGGACACTACATTAGTCAAACTGATTCTCCTGGTTATTGTTAGGAGATTCCGCTAGTGTCTATGTTCCTTTTGTTTTTGACTAATATATATACAGTGTTATCTGGGTCCTAGAGAAATGTTAAATTACTCTGAAGTCCAGCAATGTCTATCGTCCCATATAAGTATGCGTTCATGACTAACATTTTTGCTGTGGATTCCTACTTGAAAATGAGATCTTACCTGATTTAATATCCATCAGGTCTGTTTACCATTATTGACTAGAATACTTATTAAATCCTCAAAATGACCAAAACACGGGCCAGTCATAAACAACTTAGAACCTGAGACATTTGTATCAGTTCAAGTTAACATATCAGAATCTCTTATAACATATTTGATGTCCAGTGGATTAATATTTAAACCATCCTAACAGCTGTTACAGGCATTTTTGTTATTCATAATGTCAACTTTTTATAAATCACAGGGTTTTGACATTAAGTTCTTTCATTAACCGTGTTTTCGTCCCAGTCATTTTCACTTGACACAATTTGACCAAACATTTCCACTTTTCTCTCTTAGATATATTAGTGTTAGTGATTATATATACATAACACAACGGATTTTCAATGCCTGACAGTTCCAAACGTGGTTTATTTGTGGTTTTCGAAGGTGTTGAAAAATGTGGCAAAAAGACACAATCAGAACTATTACAAGAAGCTTTAACTCAAATTACTGGCAAACAAGCTTTGTTGATTCATTTTCCTGATAAAAGTACACCAATAGGGAAACTACTGACTGAATACTCTGATGGAAAACTCCAACTGGAACCACATGCAGCTCATCTTCTTTATATAGCTAACAGGTAGGTGATTCCTCACTACTCGATAATACTTAAGACATTTTACGTGTTATTGAGTTACTTAGGTCAAATTACCAGTTTTTCATGTAATATCAATAAAACAAATTTTTATCGATAAACTCTTAAATTTAGTGCACTGAATAGTTGATTACATCTTTAATGGTGACCTTAATTGTTATGAATGTTACACAGTTTATACATTAACTTGCCCATTAGTACATTCCATTTATTTAACAGGGAATCAATTTTTTATCGATCATGATGTCAATCTAATAGACAGTACAACGAACGTAGAAGAATAACTTGAATTCATTTTATAATTTGGTTTCTCATCATCTGCATACAACTTGAGCATATTAGTACTAAACTAGACCACCATGGGAAACCCGGAAGCAATGGACGGCCGTTTCGTCCCAGCATGAGATTCCTACTTCAATGTCTGACTTCAGTGCTTCAGCTGGTATATTGTCAGGTCCTGTCGCTTTCCCACTTTTGATTTGTCTGATGGCCATCTTGACTTCTTCAATCGTTAGTGGGGTGACAGATATAGGAAGGTCAGTGTGTGCTGCTTCGATGTCCGGTGGATTCAATGGAGCTGGCTTATTCAACAGTTTCTCGAAGTATTCTGCCCATCTTTTCCTCTGTTCTTGAATCTCCGTGATTGTCTTTCCTTCTACGTCCCTGACTGATCTCTCTGGTTTGCTATATCTCCCTGCCAATTTCTTCGTTGTATAATATAGTTGTCTCATATTCCCTTCTCTTGCAGCTTTTTCCGCTGTCGTTGCTAGTTCTCCCATGTATTTCTGCTTGTCGGCTTTAATGCTTTTCTTCACTTCCCTGTTTGCTTCTGCGTAGTCTGCTTGTGCTTTGACTTTCTCTGCTCGTGTTCGGCTGTTGTTAATTGTTAGTTTCTTGTTCTTCCTTGAATTTTGTCCAGGGTTCCTATAAAGATCCATTCCTTGTGGTGATGCTTCTTAGGACCAAGAACCTCCTGACACGTTGAAGCTAGTGCTTCTTTTATCCCTTTCCAGTTGTCCTCCAAAGTAGTTTCTTGTTCTTTCAGTAGATCCTGCAAAGCTTAGAACCTGTTGTTGACAGTTATCTTGAATTCGTGGAGCTTGTCAATATCTCGAAGGAAGGCTGTATTGAACCTTTGTAGTGCTGTTTGTCCAGTGTTTCTTTTGCTTCAGTCTCATCTTGGCCACAATCAGGTGGTTATCTGAGGCTATGTCAGCTCCCCTCCGGGTTCTCACATCTTCCATTGATCTTCGGAATTTTGTGTTGATACAGATGTGATCTATTTGGTTCTTTGTGGTGTGGTCCGGGGAGATCCATGTAGCTTTGTGTATGCGTTTGTGTGGGAATATTGTGCCGCCTATAACCAATTTGTTGAATGCACACAGATTTGCAAAACTCCCCATTTTCATTTCTCTCTCCTAGTCCATGTCATTCCATTATATCTTCATATCCTGTGTTGTCCACTCCAACTTTAGCATTTAGATCTCCCATCAGAATGGTGAGGTTCTTTCATGAGCACTTCTCTATAATTGATTGCAGCCTCTAGCAGAACTGATCTTTATCGTCGTCGTTGCTATCATTGGTGGTTGCATAACATTGGATAACATTCATTGTGATCCCCTCCTTTGTTTTGAATGATGCTTTGATTATCCTGGATCCATGAGATTCCCATCCCACAAGTGCATTTCGTGCTTCTCTGAACAGCATTTGAGCAACTCCCTGAGTGTGTGGAGCATTTTCCCCTTCGTGACCGGAGTACAGCAGCATCTCTCCTGTACCTAGCCTTTGTTGTCCAGTCTGTGTCCAATGGGTTTCGCTGATTCCGAGTACTGCCAAGTTGTATCTCCTCATTTCCATTGCTATTTGGCTGGTCTTTCCTGTCTCCCACATTGTCCGGACCTTCCATGTACCTATAAAGAGTGTTGCTCTGGTTGTTAGAAGGTGAATCGGCCTCGTGACTTCCGAAAAATTTCGGCTTTCATCATAAGGCGTCATGATTATTCCTTCAACTCCCAGGGCAGTTTAAATGGTTCGAATTATTTTTCTGGTTAGCGTTTTTTTAGCCGAGTTGGTTTTCTATGGATGGGGTCGCTAACCCCATGCCCAACCCTCCTCCTGTACCCGGGCTTGGGACCAGCAGTAACTCTAGAAGAGCTACAGGCGGAGTTCTTTATTAAATAACCTTTCTAATTTGCAAATAACACAATTTCGAAGTATCTCTGTTGTAATAGCAGATGCAAACGTTCACCATTATTATCATATACCGTTGTCAAATTCATTAATACATGCCTCATTTTGAACTTTGTAAAAGATCACAATAATCATGGACTTATAACTTTAGAGCCTGATGATGGAGTTATTGAAGAAACGGTTGTTCACTCAAATATTCTTCATGTTTCAATATTATATGAGGATTTTTAAACTGTTGAACTGCTTCTCCTGATATTATTATTTCACCCTCATCTTATAATGCCTGTTCGTTGTTCTCCTTCTCATGCGCAATTTACATTCTCTATCTGTTCACACACTCATTGTGTAGTGTATGTGTATTTCGTGCCCCTTTGTACCAATATGTTTTCGAATGAATAAGTAATAAATATACATAACTGGTGAATCTAGTGGAGTGAATAACCGACGTACTTTAAGCTAGTCTTCGAGAGTATAAGTAAGGATTCTCACTGCTAATCGTTTTAATCTATATAATTCTATCCTGTGGATATAATTGCTCAGGCCTCTTTTTTTATTTGTTCAAGTACCTGGGGGCTTATCTTCCCTAAATAACATTTTTGACTAATGGTTTGTGTGTAGAGAAGTCTGTAAACTAATCGTTAATAGAAGAAATGTTTAGTTAGGTTCACGTGTTATAAACCGAACTATCTACCTCATTTTAAAAAGTTTTGCTTTCACTGTAGATGGGAACGTCAAGATGAAATTTCGAGTGCATTAAAAGCTGGTATTAGCGTTGTCGTAGATCGGTACAGTTATTCTGGGATTGCTAACACAGCTGCTAAATTTCACCCACTCTCTGAATTTGATTGGAAATGGTGCCGTTCTATGGAATACGGGTTATTGCAACCAGATTTTATATTTTGCCTTGCTCCAGAAAATTTTGCTGAAATTTCAGTTCGTGAAGCCTTTAGTGACAAAAAGTTTGAAACAATGGATTTTCAAAAGCGAATTCTTATTTATTACGGTCGTTTATCACGCGAGATGGAGTCTGAGTTAAGTGAGAATGATGATACAAAAGATCATGAACCGCGACTTTGGCATTGGATACCAGCAACAGGTCAAACTGTGGATGAGACTCATTCATGTATAATGTCGATTATTGATTCCAAATTATAAGTCAGTTTCTTAATAAAATTATCTATACATTATATTTACTTTCGACTATGATTTATTTTGTTGTTAAATGATAACTATTGAAGATAACCAATCAAATTGAAGTAGTATCAGTGGTTCATACTAAAATTTGACACAAGGTGATAAGCAATCAGTTGTTCCAGTTTGCTGTGAAGAACAAAGCAAATCAGATCTAGATGAACCAAAAGCATACGGAACGATCGTGAGCAGTGGTGGGTAACGAAAGCAAAATAAATGGAAAAGGCAGCGCTTGTAGGAAACACCAAACAGTTTTTCATGCCACTACTAACATGACTTTTTCGGTTTCATTAGTTTTCTTTATCACTGTCCTGATGCAAATTATAATAAAATTAAGCCAGTGAAAATCTCGACCAAATACTACGTTCTTAACTGGCTAATTACTGATATAGGGCGATTGGGATTCAGCAGCTAGCTTGTAATAAACAAGAACAAAATACATCTCCTCTTCTACAAACCAATCTCGGAACGTCCCCTAAGGTACAGTCCTTGGTCGTTTTCGCTCTTTAGTTTATGTGAACAAATAACCAACTGAGGCGAAGTCATCCGTCCTAATCTTCGCCGATAACATGAAGATTTGGAGGCCCATACGCAGTATATCAGATAGAATAGTATTACAATGTGATCTCAGCTTATTGGTGGAAAGTATAGGCTAGTGATCACCAGAAATAAATTTCGACAAAAGTGTGGTGATGCAATCAAATAACTATAATGACTCATATCACTGCACAACACGTAGAGCTGCGTTACCCAAATTAATGAACTGTAAAAACTCACAACTGCAAGGCTGCTGCCAAATGCTTTGGGGTGTTATGCCCCCAAATGCCGTGGTACGGCCGAGAGTGGGGAGAGTCCACTCTCCCTCTCCAAATGCTCTCATATGGCCACGCAAATATATAGCCTCTGCCAGGGAAGTCCTACTCACTGCCTTCTCGTGGCGGGGGTGTTGTTTACGAAATTGAGAGGACGAAAAGCGAATGTCCGGCGCTTTAACCGGGTTGGTGGACAAGGCGAGTCTACCTAGGGGAGTTGGAAAACCCTGATTCCAAACCAATGGTGCACATGGGCTCCAGTATCCTGAAGGAACGAATGGCGTATGAACCAACTGTTGGTCACCGGCTACCATGGGACTGCATCTCCTCACGATGCTCCACTGCCTTTTGGATTAGATCTTTCAGCCAAAGGCTTGGGGTGTGGCCCCCTAAGAAAACCACCTGCTTCGGTTTGGGCACCCGGGCAGTATCACAGCCCTCAAGCAAATCGAATGAGATTTGTATGGCGCATATATATCTGGTGCTTCCTTTTACCAATATTTATGTGTTTAAATAATAATAAATCTCGGAACATCAGTCATGTGACCGGTATAATGGTCAAAAATTAAAATTCATGAACAAATTTGATTATTACCTGAATAACATTCATAATTGTACCCTACTAACCACGTTAATTACCACACTATTATCTATGTCTGTTATTTTATTGATTAAGAATAACTTCATTGGTAATGTTATTTAAAGGGGTTTTGTCGACTATTGGGTTTCATTGCCAATCTTCATTCAGCCCCGATTTAAATCTAAGCTATGACAATTAATGACGGTACATATATGAAACAAAAAGATAAGTCTTTCTTCATACCCGGTGTTCTCCACTCTGACGTTCACATTTAGGTCCGCTCTCAGTAAGGCCAGGTCTTTTCATTTGCGTTTCTGTGCGATAAATTCCATCCTCTTATAAAACATCTTTATTTTCGTTGTCATCGTTGATGGGTATACAGCACTGAACAACATTCATTTTAGTCTTTTCTCGGTTTCTTATGCAAACCCTGGAGCAATCAGATCCCCATCCTCATTTTTTTCGCTTCTTCATGCGGCATCAGCACAACTCGTATGGTGCGTTTTTGTTATTTGCGACCAGAAAAAAAATAACGGCCCTTCCGAAGTCAATAATTTTTGTCTAGCTTATGTTTAATAGGTTTCACCTATTCAAAGGAATCCCAGATTATATCTAATTTCTGGGGCTGTTTTGATTGCCCTCCCCGTCTTCCATATCGTCCGGACATCTCACGTATTGACATTGATTGTTCCTCTGGTTGTCAAAAAGGACATTATTGTCGTGCCTGCCAAAGGATCTTGCCTTTCACTAAAAGGCGTCACAACCATTACATAAGACGACTTTTGGTGCTTTTTTGTCTAAAGTAATCCATCTGCGGCATAACACAAATTATCCATAAAACTGAAATGGTTATCCACTAAAGGTGTTGTCTTTAGAAAGAGATTTGAGTGTTTTGGTTTCCTATGACCTAAAGTCATATGATAATTGGGACCAAAATATCGTAAGACCTTATATTAAACTGTCAAGTTATTCCTTTTTGGCCAACCTGATAATAGAAGATTTCAAATGGTTTAGCTTCACTTGGTTCATAGGTACAGTGATGTGTGACACAGCAGGTTCTACTGTACACACACCTTTTGACATTTGTGAGTAATCAAGTCTTGAAACTCCCTGCCTGCCGATTTTCAAAGAAGTCCCGTCTAGTCCTTTTAAAGGAAAAACCTGGCATGTGTTTCAAAAAAGGACGGTAATTCAGTACTTGTGATCATCTTTTCCTTTTTTGTACTTGCTGCATCAAGAAGCATTCTTGGTGTACTTCAGCTTAAAATATTTCGGTTGAGGTTTAAAGTTTTGCTCATGTTTGTCTTGTGGTACCTTTTTTCTCATCGACTATGACACTTGTGCTGGTGTTGTGTTTTAAACCTTCTTAGTCTGATTACAATGGTTGGCAGTACTTGTAAATGTGGACAGCCAAATTGTTTATTCCCTGTGGAGGAAGGAATGCAATGTGATGAGTATGAAAATCGGTCCGGATATCACTACCTAAGAAGTGATCAACATAGATGTAGAAAAAGAGATGACGTCCTTTTGTACATAATCAATAATATAAATATCCGCTTCTTTACTTGCGAATCCCGTGGTAGTAGAACTGTTGAAGTCATTATCTGTTAGCTCACTATCGGATGTTTTACATTTATACACGGTGCTATCTATCGTAGCCCAATCTGCTTAGCTAATGACTTTATTTTAGAGCGCATTCAGCTATGTGGTGCAAATAACATGCTTGATATTGGGAGACTAATGCACCTAATATTAGTTGAACTGAAATGTCCACGATAGGATCTATAAACTCCTTTGATAGTAGGTTCCTGATAACGGTAATGGAGCATGTATCCGAACCCACACATTTTGTTTCAAACCAAAATTCTTGTTTGTTAGACTTGGTAATCACTTATGCGACTGAAGATATTGCCAATCTAATTATTCTTCCACCGTCAGCAAATAGCGATCATGCTGTTTTGTCATCCTTTCTTAGAGCTTGTGACATGATATATGATCAGGTCAAGCCTCACTCAAATATATAGAGAGCTAACATATCAGCCATCTAGGAGTGCGCTGCTAAAACAGTTTGGTCAGTAGATAATAGTTCATCAACATATATAAGCGAATAATATTGTTTTCGATTAGATCCTCATCAGGCTTTACTCTAATATACAGTAATATTGTTCGCTTATATATGTTGTTCTAAATCACAATATGGGAATTTTTCAAAATCGCTCATCAGTTGAGACATGGTCCATATATAAAGACAAGCTTAGTTCAGTTACATCCTCATTTATATCATACCTAGTACCACGTAGACGGAATAACTGTCCACTATGGATAACTAAACAGGTCAAGAAACTTCTTAGACGTGGGAAAAAGCACTGGAATTTATTCATCTCTACTGGCTTAGAGCAGTACAGGTCCAGTTATTGTAAGACTAGGAATGCTTGTAAAGCGTTAATAAGTAAGACTGGGCAGTCATTTAAAAAAATTTGTTAGGGATTGTAAAAATAGTCTGAAACGGTTGTTCTCGTATGTAAAAAGGCTGAATCTTTATCGAAATATTTTAATAAAGTGTTTTCTATCAGCAATGAAGAACGATAAACTATTCATTGTAATTTTGGCGGCTTGTTGATGGACCCTATAGTTATTGAGGAAGGTACGGTATTGAGACTACCTCAACATCTTAAACCTGATAAGTCCAGTGGTCCTAACGATATCCTAGGATTATGAAAGCCCTGTCTGATACAACTGCCGAACCTGTGATCATATTGTTTGATATGTCTGCGGCAATTCAGACTGAAAAAGCGCAATAATCAGTCCGATTTATAAGGTGGGGAGCAGAGATTTAGTAACTATCGACCCATTAGTCTAACCGGTGCAGTTGTAAAACTAATGGGGAAGATTATTCGGATGACTGTTATAAACTATATGGAATCTTTTATCCGGGCAACAACACAGTTTTTGGAAAGGGTTGTCGTATTTGACAAATCTGTTAATTGCAATAGAAGATTAAAATATCGAAATATTCCTGTAGATGCAATTTGCATAGATCTAAGTAAAGCCTTTGATAAAATCTCCCATTCGGCTCTTAAATGAAAACTGGAAAGTTTTGGAATCCATTGTAAAGTCATATACTGGATAAGTGACTTTCCAAGTGATAGAAGACAATGAGTAAGGGTAAATGGAGCACTCTCAGTGTGGTAACCTGTATAAAGTGGGGTCCCCTAAGGTACAGTCCTTGGTCGTTTTCGCTCTTTAGTTTATGTGAACAAATAACCAACTGAGGCGAAGTCATCCGTCCTAATCTTCGCCGATAACATGAAGATTTGGAGGCCCATACGCAGTATATCAGATAGAATAGTATTACAATGTGATCTCAGCTTATTGGTGGAAAGTATAGGCTAGTGATCACCAGAAATAAATTTCGACAAAAGTGTGGTGATGCAATCAAATAACTATAATGACTCATATCACTGCACAACACGTAGAGCTGCGTTACCCAAATTAATGAACTGTAAAAACTCACAACTGCAAGGCTGCTGCCAAATGCTTTGGGGTGTTATGCCCCCAAATGCCGTGGTACGGCCGAGAGTGGGGAGAGTCCACTCTCCCTCTCCAAATGCTCTCATATGGC